ACGACAGCAACGGAGCAACTTCGCCCGTTGAAGACGACATCGATGCGGCCTTGACGGATCTACAGGTGACCCTGGAAGGCAGCAACATCAGCAACGGGCCCAGTGATATCACGCAGGTGCCCGAGCTCTGTGACGAGCTGCGTTTCTTTAAACCGAAACGTTTCACATTGAAGGCCTTCAAACGTTATTGGTTTACGTGCCGCGATCTCCAGCTCAGGCTCTACAAGAGCAGGGAGGAGACAGGCGGCTCGGAGTCGCCAGTCTACGTGATCAATTTGCGCGGCTGCGAGGTCACGCCGGATGTGCATTTGTCGCAAGGTCGCTACGGGATCAGACTGGAGGTGCCCAGTGCCGAAGGCATGACTGAGATGTGGATAAGATGCGACAACGTAAGTGGATTAATTTGAGTTAACGTGGTGTATCGTTGCCAACTTTATTGAATTAACCGTTCTTAAACGTACATTAATACTTGCCATATGTTGGCGTTTGGCCACACGTCAACAAATATCGTTAATACACGTTGCGTCGAAAACGAATGAGTTCTCACGAGTTTAAGTTTCACAAAGTGAAAACTATAAGGCTGTGTTCCAAAATTCACTGGCAGTACTGAAAATCTATGTGCATGTAATCTAGTAACGTAAACGATAGGATTTTCAGCGCTGATAGTGAATTTTGGAATACAATCTAAATATTAGAACTGATTCAATTTACAGATATTCACATTTGAGCTTGATTCCATTATCATTTTTTATCATTCCAGGAACAACAATATGCAAAATGGATGGCCGCGTGCAGATTAGCGGCTAAAGGCCGTACCCTCGCCGACGCGTCTTACGAGAGCGAGGTCAACAGTATCATAGCTTTCCTACAACTGCAGAGGCCCGCACCCGCACCAGCCATCAATCCGAATGCTTTGGATATTGTACCGGAAGACTATGTCGCGCCTCGATTCGCGAAGAAATTCAAAGGAAAGGTAATAAATCGTTCGCATTCAAATAAATCTTCGTGATTGAATATTCAAATAATGAACCAACACTGTACTGATACTTCTTTTCTTCACGTAGTTGGTTCAAAGGATCTTGGAAGCACACGCGAACGTTAAAGACCTGCCCCTTGTCGAGGCGAAGCTAAATTATATCAAAGCCTGGCAGTCCTTGCCGGAATACGGTATCTCGCTCTTCATTGTGCGATTTACTGGTAAGAGCAAGGATGAGCTACTAGGTATCGCCAATAATAGGCTTATGCGGATGGACCTTCACACTGGCGATCATTTAAAGACTTGGAGGTATAATACTATGAAGGTATGTATTCATTTACGTGTCCTCTCCTATAGATTTTTATTCATGAGTATTCCTTTAATTTGGCAAAAATGTAATGTTGAAAATCGAAAAGTGACAATAAATAATTTTTCCACAGAAAAGTCATTTGAAATTGACTAAAATCTGTAATTTAAAAAACTTAGTAAAGAATATATCTCTGAATACAAGATGAAAGTGAACGATTTCTTTTACAGGCGTGGAATGTTAACTGGGAAGTAAAACACATGATGGTACAATTCGAAGAAGAGAATATCATTTTTGAATGCCAATCAGCGGACTGCAAAGTTGTCCATGAATTCATAGGAGGCTACATCTTTTTGTCGATGCGTTCGAAGGAGGCGAATCAAACATTGAACGAAGACTTGTTCCACAAATTGACTGGTGGATGGGCTTAATCCAGTACTGCAATAAGTGCATGAAACCGAAACGGGTTCTAACATATTCTGAGAAGCGATGATGAGATGAGCACTACCTACATACGTCGCGCTCGTTATGTGCCTGTTCAAGGACCGACGTTTTTGCATGCTAGTACATTTGTAAAAATACTTAAATCTGGTCGTATTTATCACATTTTAACACTAATATGCTGTAAATAAAATATTTTGTCCCCTCTACGCGCGAGCGGAAGAATTTTAGCGATTAGTTATTTCGACAGGAGGCTACTTCAGAATTTTTACCAATGTGTTTACCTTATTTACAAGGTATACTAACAGTGTTGACAACCGTTATAATCATAGCCTCTTTTCCAGGAAAAAATAATCCGTTTTCTATATTTACAATGATTTTATAAATAGATGTTTGTGAAACTATTTTACAAAGATATACTTTTATACGAAACTTTTTCTACTTAGAGGAATCTATTGCCTTGAATAAATATCGAATTTAGGAACAAATACATCAAGTCTGCATAAATAAAAAAATCTACAAAACATATCGTGGTATTAGGCAACACTTTGTAACAAAGAAAAAAATCGATTTTAATCTTTTAAGGAAGCATGAAATCACCATAGCATAAAACCGCCCGTGGTTTCGAATGATTCATATACGACCGTAAATCTTGAAAATTCAATTAGTAATTTCTTTTATGTCTAGAGAATTATTTCTTGTAATCCTCCCTCTCATAATGCGTGTCAGTATCCTCTTCAGTATCCCAAGGTGCTATACTAACTGAGCTCGACTTTACAACGCAAGAGATCGAATCGTGTAAATTATTTGTTATTTTAATGTAAATTAGATGTAGAAAAAGAAATATATCACCTGTATCGTTATATATTACATTCATAGGAGATATCCCGTTATATGTGTATGTAACCAAAAAAAAGTATAGTTTTGTATATTACTAGGCAGTAACTGTACAATAAACTTATTAATGTATTTGACAAATTTTTTAATTTCTATTCTGTATCTATCGTGCCATGAAATTGACAACATATGATAGTCGGACAATTTGTAGAAAAATGTAGAAATTAATTACTGAATAACAAATTAACGTTAATCGATTAAATTTTCCTTGTATTCGACATTTATATCAAATTGTTATGGACTTTATTTAGCAACAATACGTTAACATATAAGTTTCATTGGTCGTGCAATCAAATAGAAAATTATAAAATATATTAGTAAAGACAAGTGTAAAAATCTTCAAAAACGATAGTTTGAAATTGTTAGTCACTGTAATCTCATATTTTGATTGTATAGCTTGTCAACGTATCGACCGATTCTTTTTGCGAATCTTCTTATTCCACGGTAATAGGCTGTGGATCTTTTCTTGAGGTATTTACTATCTTCGAAGACGGTTGAGTCTGATTTTCCGAATTTTTTAATGCGGGTTGTGCCCTCGTTACGACAGGTACGTTTCCGGTTCCCGACCCGCCCAGGTTACCGCCTCCACACATCTAATTGCATAAGCGACAAATCGTTACGCTTCTTCAAAATAATTATTGCGTGGAATGTTGCAATTATTCCTCGGACTTGTAAATTCCATGAATAATTGCTCGTTTAAAAGTAAACTAATCTTTGTAATTTTATACGAAAATCCTTTGTTTAGGAACTTTGACTGTCTATTGCAAATGTCGTTTATGTTCATCAAGATTCCTGGTTTCTTACTGAAGGTGAACCGGATTATGACAAAGTAATGTAAATTTATCTTTACACATCAAGATAAATTATTTTTTACAGATTGTAACTATTACATTTTTCAGACTATATTGAGAACTTTTTCTGATTGGATTAATAGATAACTGTAATAAATTGTTTTAATAAATGTTGTAATAAGTTGCAATTTCATCAGATTTGTAAATTGAATTATATATTCACTTATTATCGAAAAACAAATAAAAAAAAAGACCGCTCTGTACATTTTATATAAATTTTCTAACATAAAAACTTATTAAAGAAATTATTGAAGATTGTATACAGAAAAGGCTTATATACACAATATATAAAAAATTCGTATAATTTCTCGCTTTTGTCGATATAATCCACTAGACCAGGAATCTTGAATGTAACGCTATTATATTGTTTATTGTAACCGGGGTATGACTTGGCGGCGCTGAGTGAACGAGTCTTCCAGCAAGGGAGCCTGTTCTATCCTTCCTTGCTCTCACCCACTCGTGGCCCAGCACCCTCTCGAGCGTAAGTCTGAGAGTGATGTCCGGTTCGAGGATCTGCCGGACGATGTTCTTCCCCAACGTGGACACGGTGTCGCGGACGCGAGACCTGAACACCCAATTGCGCGATATCTGGTCTTTGAGGAGCTTCGGTAGATTCTCGTCGTCGAACGGCATCGTTCCGTTCAACATGATGAAGAGGATAATACCAAGCGACCAAACGTCCGCCAATTTTGGATTATATGGAGTACCGGCGACGACCTCCGGCGCGGCATAGGCCGCCGAACCGCAGTACGTCTGGCTGAGAACCCGCCTGCCCTTGTGGTCCATGCAGAATCTGGCAAAACCAAAGTCCGCCAGTTTCACATTGAACTTCCGCGAGAGCAATATGTTCTCGCACTTGAGATCCCGATGGGCGATATTCTTGCTGTGCAGGTAATGCAAGCCGGACGCCATCTGACGAAACCACAATCGCGACTGTTGTTCTGGCACTACGCCGTTGCTCTTCACGAAATCCAGAAGATCGCCATTATCGGCGTAGCGCATGAAGATGAAGACGCGCGGACCGCGTTGCAGAATGCTGTGCACCTGTGCTCGACCGGATGATGCGATTAGAATTGCTGATGCGTTAATGGCAGAATTGGGCAAAATATGATCAAATGGACTACAATTACTAATCGTATTAAAACTGATCTTTTATCGCCCACATAACTTTATTACAAATTCCAAGAATCTCCTGTCACGCTTGAAATTACTTTCAATACTGTTAAGTTTTATTTTACTCATGTATTTTAAAATAATGATGTAAACTATGTTTGCTCGTTTGAGAGAGGATTGCTGATTAAAGATTTTCTACCTTAGTCAGTTTTGAAAGAAAAGAGAAAAAGTGTGTAATGTGAATTTCCACCAGAATTGTTCCTATCTTATCAATCATGAGATGAGCTGAGATTTTTCTGGTTATTCTTACTTGAATGATATGCGGATTTTCTATCTTTGTTAAAATCTCAAGCTCGCGGGGAAAGAACTTGTCTAAGAAATCGTCTGGTGCTTTCTCCTTATCAAAGATCTTACAAGCCAAACGCATCTTTTTCGAGCTCGCTCCATCAATATACTCTGCCAGATGGACGGTTGCATAAGAGCCCTGAAAAAGATATCTAATTTAAAAAATGAATATTCCCACCTCGTAGTTTTGTGCAATACAATGGTACAAAGAATCTTTTAACTTGATCCATCTCGTGGAGCCTGTAAATAAATATAAATTAGAAAATAATCAACAGATTGATTAAACATTGGTTGAAATTAATCACTTATCTGTTGTCAAAAGAGAGACAAATAAAAAGGAGATCTTCCCGTATATTTTGCATTACATAAATTGAAGGAAGCGCTAGCCACAGTAAGAACGGATGAAGACATGGGAAGAAGATATGAAGTGTTAAAGGAATGAAAGACAAATGGAAACGATGAACACAACCTGTCCGATCTTCTTGCCTATAAGATAGCCCCGCTGCTCAAGAGCGTTCACCTCCGAGTTTCGAGGGCTGAGTCGCTTGGCCATGCCAATAATCCTTCATCGACCCCTCATCACTGACCCTTCCCCTTCCGAGGACGGGTAGTTAGCTGAGTCTTCGATCGTCTTCTCACCCCGACAAGTGGAAAATGCTTACAGAATTCACTAGGAATTTCTCTATCTTGCTCCGTTCGCGTTCACGCGCGTTATTTCTCGGTCGGCAATGGCAAGTTCCGTTGACGCGATTTCAGCGGTACACGAAGCATCACCGAGTACCAAAATGAAATGATGTCTCACTACTACGTCGACGCTTACGGCGACAATGCGGATCCGTTCGGTCATTTGAGGCGATTGCGAGCACTAGAATTTTGGACCAGCTTGTGCCTGGTACAACGGAAGGAAGGTAAGGATCTGCGTCTCATTCGAGCGCAGCCATTATATTTGGAAGTAAAAAACAATCAACGCGTGAGATCGATCATGCGTGCGGATCTCTGGTAACTTCTCACCACTTCTCACCGCACAATCATGAATCGCAAATCAATTTTTGGACGTTTGCCGGCTACTCCATTATTTCCCACAGCACATCTTATCCAAGAGATATCCTGGAAATGTTCTTAAAACATAGGGACATCTGGATGTTTTTAAGACGTTCCTGGCGATCGGTGCTATATGGGTTCGTACAAAAAACACACTATTGCTATTAATTTCGTTTAAGTGCGTGATTTACTTCATTACTTGTAACTAAATTCTTGAAGAATATTGATATAAGACTATCATTAATCATAATTTCCAATTGTTCATTACGTGATTTTATATTCATAAGTAAAAAAGAAAAGAGTGAGGTGTCACAAATAGAATAAAAGTTAATAAATAAAAGTTAAATTAAATGGACAATGTACTGGAGTGGATAATAAAAATTGAATGAGAATAAACATGAGAAAAAATTTTTATTATTAAATGCGCACAATATTATTAAATAAAAGTTTATACATGCGCAATAATAAAAATGTAATCTCTCAGATTGGAGAAAAATCAACAAATCCATACAATTACATATTACTTACATATAAAAAATTACAGAAAAATTTATTAAACGTTATATATGAGCCTTACTTTTATGTGGATGTATTAATAACTACGTCCAAAAAGTGTGTAAAATTTTGGCTTATTTTTGCAACTATGGTAAATACATTTTAGTTCATTGAGTCTTGTTATTTCTGGCTGATCAAATGGTATACACAGACTCTTGGCGCCCATTAATGATCCACTTTCTGCGCTTTCACTGTAATTAATCATAAAATCAAAAATTTAAATTGAGAGAAAAAAAAGGAAGGATTGCTGTTCAATATAATTCAAGTACGTTATTTATATGTATTTACTTTTCTCAAAACTAAATAAGTTCAGATATTTTTTTAATAAAACTAATTTAGATTTTCAAATTAGTAATATAAAGAAAAAACAATTTACGATACAAAGTCACTCAAACTAACGTAAATTCAAAATATGTAAAATATATTAAATACAATTTACTTTTTTATAAAAATTTGTTTTAAATCGATATTTTAATAATTTCCAAATGCACCTTTTTTCTAAAATAATGATAGGCAACATATAGAAGCATGCAAAATTTTTTTTATATATAAAAGAATAAATTTTACCTTTTATCTTCCTTACTCTCCTCCTTAATCTTATCTTCACATGCCGGATCTCCACAAAAAGGTGCCAACAATAAATTCTTTTTATTAAGCTCGGGGTTGAAATCACTCCACTTTTCTACTTTTTTAATATGCTCGTTTAACTTGCTTCTCGCTCTATAAACAACAAATAAAATTGTATATTATTACTCGTTACAGTAAAATGAATGCTAAGCGATTTTTTAACAATACCTTGATAATAATTGCTTTTGTACATCATTCAATATTGAAGTTAACGGAGTAATTATGTTATCGTTGTATATTTCGATAGCCGTTCGCTGAAAGTTATCCCTTCGTACGACTGTTACTTGATTTTTTAACAAATCCTTTGGACCTACTTCAAGCCTTATTGGCACGCCTTTCAGCTCCCAGTGGTTGAATTTCCATCCAGGTGTTCGATTAAGTCTACAATCACTTTTCACTCTAAATTTACCCTCTTGACTCAAATGACGAACTAGCCAATCGCATTTCTTTAGAATACTCTCTTTTGTATGTTCATTCATGTTCACGGCTATACCGCAGGGAATCACAATGATTTGTATAGGTGCTACATTTGGGGGCAATACTAAACCTCGATCATCTCCGTGTACCTAAATATTTGTTACAAAAGAATATATATATAAAATATAATCATATATTGTCTATACACATGACGATGAATGATACTGACCATTATCATGACTCCAATCGTTCGTGTAGTTAAACCCCATGAATTTTGATAGACAAACGTCTTTTCTTCTCGGCCCGCGATACCTTCTACTTGGATATTAAACATCTTCGAAAAGTTTTGTCCTAAATAATGGCTTGTCGCTCCCTGTATTGCGCGACCATTAATCGGAATAAACGCTTCGACGGTAGTGGTATATTCGCCACCCGCGAATTTCTCCTTTTCAGTCTTGCGGCCTTTAATGACAGGTACCGCTAACAAATCCTCGTACACCCTAGCATATAAGTCTAAAATCATTAATACTTCCGCCTCCGCTTCTGCCTTAGTAGCAAACGCGGTATGGCCCTCCTGCCATAAAAATTCTCTGGTGCGTAAGAAAGGTTTAGGATCTTTAAATTCCCATCTCTGTAAAGATAAATAAAATAATTAAAATGGAGCGGAATTAAAACAAGGAAAAAATACCAATCACAATAAATAGCATTTACCACAACGTTGTTCCACTGATTGAGCCTAAGTGGTAACTCGGTATCTGATCTCAGCCATTTGGCATAAGCTGGATACATAATAGTCTCCGAGGTGGGCCGTATAGCTATGGGCTCCGCCAAATCGGTTTCACCATATTTCGTCACCCACGCGACTTCCGGCGCAAAGTCTGCTATGTGCGCCTTTTCCTTTTCTAATACGCTGCGAGTAACGAAGATCGGGAAGTAACATTCTTGAACACCAGTGTCCGTTATCTCTTTGTCGATAAACTCTTTTATTATCTTCCAAATCGAGAAACTCCACGGACGAAGAATATAACATCCTGACACGTCATAATATTCAATCATACCGCTTTTCGTAATAACTTGTGAGTACCAATCAGTAAAGTTCTCCTCCTTCTTCGCTTCCAATCCTAATCTTGTTCCTGTTTTGCTTGAATCAGAATCCTTATTATTCGCGTTTTTTGCAACTTCTTTCTCCGACATCTTTTCAAGCTTAGGAATATTTTGCTTTTCCTTTTTTGATGCCACATCCGAGTTCGCGGGCTTCCAATCTTGACCAGTTAGATTTTTATAGTCACTTTTCAAACTTAAGAGAACCTTCACTTCTTGATCAATAATGCTCTTCTCAGCTTTCGAACTTTTTAGATTTCGTACTTTGTCACCCTGCTTCTTTATTTCTTCGGATATCTTCTCTGCTTCTGAAATTTCTTGGTTTTCTGGCTTTACCTTGCTTTTAATACTAGTAACTTTAGTATCAGCTGGTTTCCAATCTTGACCAGTCAGACTTTTATAGTCACTTTTCAAACTTAAGAGAACCTTCACTTCTTGGTCAATAATGCTCTTCTCAGCTTTCGAACTTTTTAGATTTCGTACTTTGTCACCCTGCTTCTTTATTTCTTCGGATATCTTCTCTGCTTCTGAAATTTCTTGGTTTTCTGGCTTTACCTTGCTTTTAATACTAGTAACTTTAGTATCAGCTGGTTTCCAATTTTGACCAGTCAGACTTTTATAGTCACTTTTTAAACTTAAGAGAACCTTCACTTCTTGATCAATAATGCTCTTCTCAGCTTTCGAACTTTTTAGATTTCGTACTTTGTCACCCTGCTTCTTTATTTCTTCGGATATCTTCTCTGCTTCTGAAATTTCTTGGTTTTCTGGCTTTACCTTGCTTTCAATACTAGTAACTTTAGTATCAGCTGGTTTCCAATCTTGACCAGTCGTATTTTTACAATCATATTTAGCTATTGCTTCTTCTACTTTTTCATGTTGCACATGTTGCACTTTACTTTCCTAAAAATATTTTTTTTTATTTTTTAAAATGGTAAACAATACACTTTGTAGTTACAAAATAATACCAACTTTACTTTTCGTCATTTACACATAATAAATTATTAATATTGGCATTATAAATTGTACATTTATTATTTATAAAGAAGGTAATAATTGTAGAAAATAAGGTATACTAATTTTACCTGTTGATTATTAAATACCGCAGGCGTCATATAAGGTGTTGTCGTATGCCCATCAGGTATATGGAACAATACAATGGGTGGTTCCCGTGTTGAATAAGAATTAGATGCATACGGAATATCACAAATAAAGAATCCCTTCCTCTGAAGCTGAATTATCTCTCCCTTCTTCACGCGTTTCAATTCTACTTCACCCAGCAATCGAATTTCTTTCTAAAATAAAAATTTTTATATGCAATTAGCAATATATAACATGATTACCATTTTTGTTTGTAAGTAAAAAAATTCTTTACTCTTGTATTTTTGGCAACAAAGTTTTTAAAATCGTCATCCTTGCCCAAAACCGGTACGCTCATAATGTGATCGAAATAAACAGCGTAACATTTTATTGCATTTGACTTTTCTGCATTTGAATCAGATGTAGGTAATGATTCAGCCAGCCACGTGATCTTCAAAGTATTTTTATAATTTTTGTCTTCTAGATTCAATCGTGCTTGCACATCTACTATATTGCCATCATATTTATTTATCTTTTGTATCATTATGTTACCCCAATTAATAAAGGTCGCATTCTGTCCCTCAATTAATCTTTCAGCATCTTCCTTTTCTATCAAAATTTTCGAGCCTACTCGCACTTGTTTGGTACCTCTAGATGAATCTTTAGGATGATTTTGCACAATCAACCACTCTTCCTTAGCATCTATTACATTAACCGATATCAGTTCATTATAATCCAGTGCAGTATACCTAAAATTACAGATAGTTTAAAAAAATATCCATGTTACCATTGTATTATCAAATTCTGAATTATACTTTCATTACCTAATTGCAACTGGATCAATGACTTTCTTATTAAAAGCCCATATTTTGTCCCATTCCATAAAAACTACAGATTTGGAACTACCTTGTGCGATAATGAATTGTTTCAGACCCTCGACTGTCATTCCTCGTCGTAGAATACCTCTCACTGTCGGAAAGCGTGGATCGTCCCAGCCATCGACTAGACCTTCATTTACAAACCAAGTTAATTTTCGTTTAGATAAAACCGTATGGGTCATGTTTAACCGTGAATATTCCCAAATGTACGGGCGACGCAGTCCCAAAGCCTCGATTATCCAATAAAATTGAGCATCTCTATCGTGATATTCTGTTGTTCGTAGAGTGTGAGTAACATTCTCGATAACGTCAACAATTGGACAGGCAAAATCATACGTAGGATATACTCTAATACAAATAGATAAAAAACAATCTATATATTGTGTATATATATATATATATAAAATTCTATAAAATTAATTTTTATATTATACTAATATTAATATTTATATTGTATAGCAACATTATTAACCAAATTTATATTAGTATAAAATAATTTGTAATTAGTATAAGTATAAAATAACTAATGTAATTAATGTTTATTTTAACATTAACAAAGTAATCAAATGTTAAGATGTTTTATAATTATAATTGAGTATTTCAAGTTATTTTAATTAATAGTACATCTTGCTAAAATATCAAGAAATATAAATACTTGTATTTGTTTCCAGTACGTGGATGAGGTTCTAATTTGCAACGGTAAATTGTAGGATCACGCATACATCCATTTGTTGACTGATAATCAATCTTTGCTCTGACACAATATTCTTGACCCATTTTAGTACCACGTTTCATTTCTTCCCACAATTTCAGATTTTCGGAAGAGGCTGTAAAGGCGAAATGCTATTATTCGAGATAGTTAGAAAATTAATGCTTTTTTCTGAAAAATTATTATTTACAGAGATTTCGATATTCAGATTTCAATCTTTTATCCCGTTGTTCTTTCATAAGATTCGCCGGGGTACAATCCAGATATGCCTTTCCATCTTTAATTAGTGTAGTACAATACTCTTGTAACATGTCAAAGTAATCCGAGGTATGCGTAAAACGGTCAGGTTTAATTTGCAGTAATTTTAAATCTTCCAATATAGCTTCCTCAAATTCTATAGTCTCCTTCGCTGGATTTGTATCATCAAATCTCATGATAAGTTGTCCTTGAAAAGTTTCAGCATAATACTGATTTAAAAGAGCTGCTTTGGCATGACCAATGTGCAGATAGCCACTTGCTTCTGGTGGAAATCTTACCACTACCTACGGAATAACAAAAACATTTTTTAAGTTATGAAAGTTTAAAAATCAAACTAATCTATTTTATTGTGCTGTACAACTTTACTTTGCCCATTTCTGCTCCAGGAAGATCAATAAATTTGCCCTCTTGTTTCCTTGTTTTCGTCTGCTTGGCATCAGATTTTACCTTTTGTGGACATACATCTTTTGGTTTCGAAGTTGAAGAACAATTTTTTGCAATCATAGATATTGCATTACTGAAAACAGGAAGCGATTCCATATGCTTGTACCATCTAGTAATGTTACAATAATCTTTTGCATATGATTTTATATATTCGTGACGATGCAAAACGCAAAACACATGAATATCAGCCAATGTTAATCTTTTGGTGACCAGCCATGTCCGTGCTACTAACACATCATTTAGATAGTTTAAAAGCTCCGTGTTTATTTGTTTATTTTGCAATATTAGGGCACAGGATATCCAGTGATCGATTTCTGTCCTTTCATAAGGACAGGCACCGCCTAATATAATAATAAAATTATATATAATAAAGAATATAGGTGAATTACATTCACAAGCTACAGTGAGAGCAAACAATATTCGTACAAGCAAATTTGTTATAAAAAGTCCTATTTGAAGAAAATAAACAATTAATAAATAACTAATTAGCAATTTTATACAATGGATACATTCTGTTCTAACATAAACAAACGAGCTTCGCATGTATTCCTGATTTTATAAGCTAAATTTCTCGTCTGTATGAATACTTTTTGAACATTCAAACAATACAATTTTTAATTTTCGCCTTTTAATATTTCAGATTATATATTTTATATAATTAATACACACACATCTTTTTGGTATATATAATTTTAAGAAACATACATTATATTTTTTTCTTTATGAATAAATTGTTAATTATCCAACAAGAAATGATCGTCAATTAAACGTCGAATCGACGTCAAATTGATGTTGAAATCATCGTATTTATATTGATTCGACATCAATTCGATGACTCATTTCTCACTAGATAATATTTACATTTTAAAAATAGTTTTTTTTTTTAAATATTTTCTTTGTACGAATACTTTTTGCACTCACTGTATATTTTAGTTGGTTTTGACATATTTAACAAAAAAAAAAGCTATATTTAATATCAATAAGATCTCTAGATTTTTTATACTTGAATAATCACAAAAATATTTAGAGTATATACCATAAAGGAGGGGATTCAACATCCTTGCTAGATACCGAGTAATTTCATTATTATGTTGTCCCAATAATTTGTCATCTTTGTCATATAAGCAAACATCCGATTTGTCATTCCAAGTTTTGTTCCATGATATCATTATATCTTTCTTTTCAGAATTAATTACTTCGGCTACTACCAGCACGTCTGTAAAAGATCCCAAATTCAGATCAATGATATAAACAAAATCATATTTTTATATATTGTCTTTAATATCGATATTACGTAATGTTAGCGTTTACAAATGGAACTTAATATCTACGATTACAGCGATAATTCAGATACGGTGAACGTTAAGGTTAGGTTATCTTCTTCTTAACAACTAATTAAGAAAAGGATAACGTGGCTTTAGCGTTCACCGTATCTGAATTCACGTTATTGCAAAAACTCCCTAATATCTACGACTACAGCGATAACTAGTTCATCTAATAGAATAGATACTAAAAAAATTGTTAAATTCATAATTTAAAATAATAATTATTTATTGTCATAATTAACATTATGTTGCTTTATTTCAAGTTAAAAATTACATCATTTTATATAAAATTAAATTTGGTGTTACACATTTTATGCTAAATTAAACTTTATGATAAATCTACCCGAATATCGATATCTAAACGGCTATTTAGAAGTTTTAAATATTAACGGTTAAAACAAATTAACGTTACGATGGAAATCTCCATTTAACTAGTTTTACAGCAACATCTATTCAACATTTATTTTCGATATTTCATATAAGAGGTATGCATAAGTTTAAAAAAACAAGTTAGGTCAATACCAACATAATACGTTGGTTGCAAGCTGATGAAATTATTGAAAGAGTTTCATTTGTCTCGGTAACTTATGTATTTTTTACGTTCACTTAATATAACAATGTGACACGCTAAATTGCATGGTATTATCGTCGGAAGTGCCTTTATTCATTATTTATGACAAAACATCTGGGATAATTGTCCTGAATATCCGACTTGACGTGGTGATGCAACAAGCATAAGGAAGCATCGACAAACAGAGCAATACAGAAAGTAAGATAAATATAAACTATAAAGATAAAAAGAAAGAAAATTAATTTAAAAAAAGGACAAACTTAAACACTCGTTCCAATAATGGTCTTGTGTTCCGAAGTAGAATGTTTTAGAAACTAAAAATAAAAGTGACGTAAAATTTGAACTGGACTGATCGCGTGAATCTTACCTAATACGTGATCAACTGGGTTGAGAGCGATCTTAAACGCCATTGTCTCCACATTCACACTAAAATGAAACGAAACAAATTTAACATCAACGTGAACCGATTAAGGTTAGCAATCACATCACACCACGCATTCCACGCGACGCGAATCGGCCATGGCACACAAAAAAACTTAAGCAGTAAAACGTAAGTGGTAAACGAATTGACCAATCACAGTAGAATCCATAAGGCCATAACGTAAGCAGTTAATCCAACATGTTGATTTTCTTACTTATTTCTTCTTAGAATTCGTTCATCTCGTCTTACGGGTAGCATGGTCTCAACAGCATCTACAATCTACAACAAAACTAAAGCCTGCTAAAGCCTCAACTCAAGCAGAAGGCCGAAACTGTCGAGTCTCGAGAGGAAGGCCGGTAAAGGTTGCGCATGCGCAGCAATCACGTATTTAGTCTGTCGCGTTGCTTGCACTTTTTGCACCAAGCATCTTCGCTTTCTTTCTCTTCGACGCGCGAATATATATTTATTTTATTTCAAGGCTCTGCGCATAATGGAGGAAATATTAGGAACGGGAATAGATATTAAGATTTCCTATCAGAAACCGTGTATTTTGGTGTAACTGGTATCTGATAAGTTAAAATCTTAATATCTATTCCTGTTCCTAATATTTCCTCCATTGTGCGCAGGACCTAAGAGCAAAAATTTTTGGAAATTTCAAGCAACGCGAACAGATCTCTCGCGTTTGTCGCCCGGGTTTTCCTCTTCGAATTTGAACTTCAAAAAACTTTGTATATATATAACATTCTTGAGGTTTCCACGGGTGCTTTCTGTATAAAGGTTATGCGTTTCGCGGGTTTCCTCCGTGTTCAGATCCATTCTTGAGATGCCAACGTTTCGTGAACCTTTCAGTCCACTTTATCAGGGCGAGGGGCAGCCTGATCCTGAGTATGTATATCTTGAACATAAGGTATGTATAAGGTACACATTTACATGTATCAAGAATTCCAAAATAGTTAAATACATAATATCAAATTTGTACCAAATTTGAGTTATTTTTAATCATTTCTTTATTGGTGTCACTATATTATTTTATATAAAGCTTATAAGCTTTATATAAAATATTTATATAATATTTCAAAAAATAAATAAATATTTATCATAAATATTCTGTGTAAGTAGAATTAGGTTGAGATACTGAAATACATATGAAAGATCAATTAGAAAATTTATACATATGTGTTCGTGCGATCATATTAATGGAGTAGTATATGATATATCATTGAATGTGTAAATCATATGTGTGTAAGTCCTACCGATTTGATAAAACAAATGACTTTATTTCTTTAATAAAAATAATACAAGGAATCTAGTTAAAAACTATTGTTATTAAAATTATCTTTTTCTTAATTTTAATCAAACTGTCTTTCTCGAGCAATTCATTCTGTATTTCTAATTTTAAAGATTACCCCGAGAAAAAATATTATATATATAATTGTATATGTATAAAATATGTCAGTTTTTTATATCTAGTTATATATAATTTTACATAATTTTATATAGTTATTATATATATAATAATTTTATATAATTTTATATTAAACATTTTTTTCTAAGAGATCTGATTAGATATTTACGTTAAAAATATGCAATTTTTTTTCTAATTTATTTTAGTCGACAATCTGTTCGGAAATATAAAGACGCTTATTTAAGAGGAAGATGTTGAGGAACCAGGCTGCAAACTTGATTTATCCATGAAGTTGTTAGAGTCATCCTTTTTGCCGAATAGAGGTATCAGCACACTGTCGTACACATAATTATTATATTATCAAATAATATTAAATACTACATCACATTATATTACTTTGTCACTTAGAAATGAGTTGATTTGAACTGTCTATAGTATTATCGACGTTGATCAATATGTCGATTTAACTAATAATTATTTTCAGCGAGATATTAAAGATGTATTATACATTTTTTAAATAATGAAAAGTTATGAAAAAATTGCAAATTATTTTAGATCGCATTTAAAAGTTATACAAAAAAAGATGGCGACAATATAGAAGCACCTGGATTAAAAATTATTTCGATATAAAAAGTAGTACTTTTTTATCTGTGTTATAGATATTTATAGAAATGTATTATAACATAATAAAAAACCATATTTATAAAAAAATAGATATAATACATCCTTAAATAGAAATCAGGCAGTTCATGATTTATTGTCATGAGACGCGTAAAACACTTAGGTTTAATGAATTTTAAAGAAGATAATTGAATTTATAGAAGAAATCACCTTTTTTCTTTTATTAAATCGTGCAGGTTACCGGTTAGAATTCCAGCTAAAGCGATCGCTGCATAATAATCATTGAAATTTTCTGTTGCTAGCAGAAAATTGGCAGCTTTTCGAATAAGTGTTTCAGATACCAGAACAAGCCGATCGAACAAATATAACCTTATGTCTTGAAATAAATTATGACTATATCCTACATATAAATTCTGTTCGGGAATATTTAATTTATGACATTTTTGTCTAACATTGTTGGTTAAAAGATCTTGAACTGTAGTTTGGACCTCCTATTAGGATTGAGATGTTATACATATAATTTACAAATTAATTTAAAATGGATACAATTGTTTCCATGAAACAAACTACATTTATTAGATCGAAACATGAAATCACATAACTTATGATTATAGAAAAGCATTTATTCACTTACGATAATTTTTATATTTGAATTCGATTTTCTGATAGCCATTGCAATAGTCGCGGTTACTCCACAACCATCGACCGTCGTCGGCAATATCACTGCATCAATTGTCTTTCCAAAATCTAACTGTTCAAAAATCTCTAGGCCCAAAGTAGCTTGGCCAATAATCATATTTGGATGATCGTTTCTATTAAAAAAATATAAAATAATTTGACATGAAGACAATAATAAAATATATAAGATTATAAATACGTAAAAATATTAATGTTTTTTAGATCAACTACTTTTCGAACAATAGAATGAAATCTGTCACACAAAGAAAATAGAAATAATTGATGGAAGTATCGTCTTTTAACGAGAATGTATTTTAATTAATAATAGCGAATTCGATTGGATGCACTCAGTGTAAACTGGAGCACATTAAAACCGTCGTACACAAATTGATGTAAAATTATGTGTTTAATATAAATATAAAAATATATTAAATCATAAAATTCGCAATACAGTTTATTGTATTGTTAAATAAAATCTATATTTTATAATTCAAAATATTTGCATTTTACTTTTACACAGTTTATCGTTCCAGTTGACACAAATTAAAAATAACATACATAATGCCAATGTTATAATTTCGTACTCCACAATCTAACTATTATGTAACGCCATAAGTTACATATACATATATTGTAGTATTACATATATATTCTAGAGTGCGAAATTATAACATTGATGTTATATTATTTTTAATCTGTGGCGCTTGGGATCAATGTACGTCTAATATGCACTAACACGCATTTAACTAAGATTTTGTTAAAATAGAGTACCCGTCAAGATAACATAAACATTTTCTCCTGGCAATTTGCAAAGCGATATTATGTACTTCTACTATATTGTCACCCCGAACAATTACTGTTGCTCCTAGATATTGACACTTATCAACTATTTCCTGTGCCGTTAATTTCAGCATCACTACTGTCACTGGTATTTTAAACTTCTGTCCAAAATAACAAAGAGTTTGAGCGAAATATCCCGTTGAGATTGTTATGACACCGTTGCGTTTCTGCTCGTCAGTTAACTGTAGCAGAGTGTAAATCACACCGCGTGCTTGGATGCTATTCATATGTTGATTAAGCTCTTTCTTAAAATAGACATGGACTCCTATTTTTCTCAATAACGAACTCTGAATCAATTAGAATCAGATTAGATTTGATTAAAAATCATCCTTAAAGGATTCTTTATAAATGTTTTGCGTTATATAATGTTTGGATCAAAGTCACACATATACAGAACCAGTTAAAAGTTTAGACTTATATAAAAACGGCTGTAATCCATAAAAAGACGGAAATATATAATGTACAACAAATTTATTGCAAAGACTACATTTGAGCATAATTTAAACTTTTTCTTGAAGAAAAACTTTTAACAAAAACAAATATTTTGTAGTAATCTAATTTTTAACTTTTGACACAGTCATTAGTTAAATATATAGATTTTCATCGATAATATATGTACCTTCCCAGTGAGAAATGACCGTCAATTTGACGTCGAATTCAATCATTTCTCACTGGCTTCCTCGGACTTTTACCACAGCAGCACAAATTTTTAATATCCTTTTTATTAATTTAAACAACGTTTCCACTGAATAGCTTTCTAGGCAGTTTTTAGAAGAGCTTAAAGAACATAGTTTCATTCTTTGCTCGAATCCGATTCTCCGACCCAGTGGTTATGTTTTTAGTATAAAGCATATAACTATACTCCAACAACTTACAGCAATATTACACGTTACAGTAATATTGCAGCAATATTGATACAAATTTTGTGCTGCTAGGGTATCATTTCCATTATACCAAACCCAAACCCACTTTTGAACGAAGATTCGAGTGGAGAATTCTAAATTTTTTTGACTGGTATATATATATATATATATA